TAAGACTGAACTGCTTTTCCTTCCGGGAAAAGATTGTCCCACTCTTGACCTAACAATCAACATCGGCACCTCTGTTGTTTCCCCGACTCAGACTGCAATCTGGGTGTGATCCTAAATAACAAACTGTCCTTCACTGCAAACATTGCTGCTACAACAGATACACGCTTTACAACATCAGGAGGATACGTCCCCAGCTGACCCAGAAAGCGACGCAGGTTCTGGTCCAGACTCTTGTCATCTCACGCCTAGACTACTGCAACTCCCTCCTGGCTGGTCTACCTGCATGTGCCATCCGACCTCTGCAGCTCATCCAGAATGCAGCGGCTCGTTTGGTCTTCAACCTTCCTAAATTCTCCCACACCACGCCGCTCCTCCGCTCTCTTCACTGGCTCCCAGTAACTGCTAGAATCCACTTCAAGACACTGGTACTTGCGTACCATGCTGCGAATGGATCCGGCCCTTCCTACATCCAGGACATGGTTAAACCGTACACCCCAGCATGTGCACTTCGCTCTGCATCAGCCAAACAGCTCGCTGCATCCGCACTGCGAGGGGGACCCAAGTTCCCATCAGCAAAAACACGTGGGTTTGCTATCCTGGCTCCAAAATGGTGGAATGAGCTCCCCATTGACATCAGGACAGCAGAAAGCTTACACATCTTCCGGCGCAGACTGAAAACTCATCTCTTTCGACTCCACTTCGAGAGATAGAAGTATTAACAAAGCACTTGTATACTAATAAAGGACTGGCTTATCTAAAGCCAGTTGAGTAGCACTTGAAATGTTTGGCTCTATGAAACCTGATGTACACTTATATGATTCTGTTTTCTTCAAGTTTGTATTTTGTTGGTCGAACGCACTTATTGTAAGTCGCTTTGGATAAAAGAGTCAGCTGAATGTAATGTGTGTGTGTGTGTGTGTGTGTGTGTGTGTGTGTGTGTGTGTTGACCTGTTGAGCTGCAGCGGTGGCTGTGACGTTCTGTTTGAGGCAGAGAGGGACAGCCATGTTCCACAGCTTCTCCTGCAGAGCCTGGTCACATAAAGCACAGACATCAAGGTCCTGAAAGCAGCATCCTGTTTCCCACGGCAACATCACCAAACGGTTCAGAGCCGGGAGAATGCTGGCAGAGAGTAGACAGCATGGACACAATGGCAGATGGACTGGTTGGTAATATGAGCTGTGTATTTCTTTGTCAAAGCTGTTGGCTCATAATGTTGCATTAAATTGATGTTATGACCCCCCAATTTAAAGTAGCATCAGTCTTCACAAATGGAATTATAGTGTAATAGACATAACCACACACACCTTCATGAGCAGCAGCTGGCAGCGTAGGTATGTGGCGCAGAAGTCGGCCGCTCCAACGAGCTCCGTCTGCAGCTCCCCCAGCCGCTGCAGGTCTCTGACATACACAACACAAATTCACCAAACATTTAGCATTTTTCTAAATAAACACATCTTACATGGGATAAAACAAAGTCCAAACTTTGTTTAAAGGGCTGTTTTTTTTTCTTGTGGTGGGCAGAATACATACATGGAATTAAATATCAATCACATTTAGTATGTGTTTGCACACTGTATATTTAAAGTATATTATTGTGCTGCAAACACAGCTCACAGTGAAAAATATCAAACAGCCTTACCAAAAATACAATTTAAACAACAAGGGGAAATAGCATTAAACACAGGACTTGATTATTGAGAATGTCTTGGAAGGACAACATAAAACGTGAGACAGCTCTGTAGCTGCTCCATAAGGAAATGTTACAAAGTGAAAATGATGGGGAGCAATGGGGAGTGTCCGGTGCCTTGCTCAAGGGCACCACTTAGGCGACCCTACGACTCACAGTCCAAGCCCCTACTGACTGAGCCACTACCGGACCCTCCCTCCCTCCCTCCCTCCCTCCCTCCCTCCCTGTCTGTCTGTCTGTCTGTCTGTACCTTATGGTAAAGTTGAGCAGGTCCTGGGCTCCGGGGGCTTCCAGGTTCTGGATGGTGCTGACCCTGTTCAGACTCTGTTGAAGGAAGAGCTGAGCTGACTCCACAGAACCTGAACCACAGCGCGAGTCCACCAAGTCCAGGCCGTTGCCTGGCAACTGAAAGACAGTTACAGGAGAGACGTGAGTGTGTGTTTTCTTGTTGACCTGGACAATAGTAATACCATTTGTTACAGTTCTCACCCGCAGGGGGGGTACGAGGTGAGACAAACTGTCCCTCAGGTAGGCGTAGTGTCTGAAGGTGTGGTCGGAGAACAGCGCGGGCATGGTGGGACACGACTTGGCCGCGTTGAAAACCAACACCAGCACAGCGATGTCTGAGAACAGCTAGAGTTAGGAAAGAAAACAGCTCACAGGTCAGCTTGCTGTTCGAAAGAACAAATGTCAGCAGTTTGAGGAAAAGTGTGTTGTGTTAATGCCACACAACTCATGTCAAGGTTTGTTTTTTTTCTGCATATTTAAATGGAAGTCTTGGTAAAGTCCCATGTGTGTTTGATCACAGTTTATCTTGTTCTATTCTGTTGATAAAACACAGCAGGAGACAGTTAATGTAATAACTCGCTGACACTCTTAGTTTTGTCCATGTGTTTCTTATTATAGTACTGATACTTTTCTCTGAGAGTTGAGTGTCGGCAGCAGAGTGTCGATGACACGTTCTCGTCCTCATGCTGGGAAAGCTTCAGGTGTGTGAAGGATACAGGCCGGGTCATCCATGTCCGGCTCGGGGGTGTCAAAGTACGGATGTGTGCTGAGCAGTTCAGGGACCAGCGGCAAGACCAGCGTTGGGTGACGGGAACCCAGGAACTTCAGACACCTGAGGGAAAGAAAAAAAAAAAATAATAATAGTCAGTCTCAGTCATCAGTTCATAAATTAACATTTTCTATAAGAACAAAAAATAAGTAACAATCATAGCCTCTCTCTTAAGTACCATTTGTTATGAAAATCTTAAACCAACTGTTCCCAAGACGTTTGAATGTATGACATTGTTTCATAACGTTACATAAGTGCCGTGGTAGCGGTATTTGGGTGCTAATGGTCAACCCTTATTAACATTTATTTTTGCTTTGTGTACAGTTACTTCTCTGCCAGAAAATGCAGCCCTAAACATTCGTGTCACCAATCTGCAGCAAACGGGAATATTTACCAGGGTTTTATAATGTTGACATCAATGTTTATTGTCGTTTCTTTTTTACAATAATAATTTGTATAATATGTCTGAGCTGTCTGCTTTACATGAGTGCCTCTGACCGGTGTCTGGATACTGTGAACCACAGTGTATTACGTTTTGTTACTGGATGTGGATATCGTGTACACCACTGCACTTTGCATGCTGCTGCTAATTGGCCATCTTTGTCTGCACACAGACTTTCCCATTGGTTGGGTTTTATATAGAAATCTTTTCTTGGGCTGGTTCCCTCTTATATTTGCACATATATGTGTGAAAAACAAAGTCTACATGGCTTCATGCTGCCCTCTTAGCAAGGTCGCTCTTAAGAAAGAGATTTTAATCTCAATGAGACTTTTACCTGGTTAAACAAAGGATATATATATGAACTTCAATGTAAACTGAAGTGTAAATGGACAGTTTTAAAATTATACAATGACATAATAAATCTAAATCTATCTAAACCCTCAGCCTGTCCCCTAAGGCCACCAGGGTCCCGCAGGATGCACCTAGGTATAATCCTGAACATGAACATCCATAATGTTTTATTTTCAGAGACCGTTAACAACCATCACTGCTCATAATGATTGCAGAAGACACACACAGACACACACTTACTTCCAGACAGAGTTGCGGTCAGTGGGATACTTGTTGAGGTTCTTGAGCAGCTCCAGCAGAGCCAGCTGAACACACTCTTTGGTGGAGACGTTGGTGTAACAGATTAATTCATGCAGAGCCTCTCTGATGTCACGAGACGAGTCCTGCACATACAGTGACCTCATCAATACGTGACTATATCAGGCATGCATAACAAGTGTTGTTCATAACTCCCCACAAAATACTTGATTAAGAGAAAAACATATTTCAGGGCTGGGCGATGGATTGTCTGACCAGTGTGTGTGTGTGTTAGTGTGTGTGTGTGTGTGTGTGTGTGTGTGTGTGTGTGTGTGTGTGTGTGTGTGTGTGTGTGTGTGTGTGTGTGTGTGTGTGTGTGTGTGTGTTACCTCCAACACAGCTAGTACAGTGTCCAGCTGGTCCTCTCTGAGGGTGATGTGGGTGGAGATCTCTCTCAGCACGTGGATGGACTGCAGCCTCACTTCCTCGATCTCGTCGTTGAACATGTCCACCAGGAAGTCCAGACACTTTTCTGCAAAGCTGGCAGAAGAGCGAGCCAGCTGACTCAACGCCTCCACCGCCGCAATACGCACCTCTGAAGGAATATGAAGATGGAGAAAACACGGTGGGAAAAGCAAAGGGCTTTACATGAACATCAACAAGAGAACAAAACTAATCCTGAGTAGAAGAGAGGAAGGATAGCAAAAAGGAAAGATGGAGAAGATATGATTTGACTTTCTTACACGTTACACTGTTAAATCATGCCAAACATACCATGTGATAAAATGCCTTAAACACCTTAACCAAAAGTCTCTCTTTCAGGGGTACATTACAACATATTTAGAGTTGGAATTCTAAATGATTTAAAGAAAATAACTTAAGCGGATTGAGATAACTCCAGCTTGTGTTACTTACTTGACAATAATTCAACGTAATCATGATTAAATATCAGCATTGGTCATGAGTAGCATCCTGAGTTGGAGCGGGCTGAAAACCTTTTGTTCAGGCTCTGTTTACATCAGCTCTGATATTCTTTGTTGAGAAACACAGACATGCTGCGCCATGTTTTACGTACCAAACATCTCGTCTTCCAGGCCGTGGACGAAGGCCCCGCAGGCCCCCGAGGCGATCAGGTTCACAGTGTTTGTGTCCAGTCTCTCCTTGGGGGAGTCGTCGGCCCACTTCCTGCCAGAGGAGAACTCTCCAGAAGTAAAGAGCTCTTTGGCTCGTTCATGGGCCGTACGCTTCCTCTGGACACAGGAAAGAAGAGTGAGGGGAGGTGTGCTAATTAACAATATTAGAAGTCCTTATCCTACTCACAGGCAGATATATTGTAGATTTTTTTTGTATTCTCACCCTTAGATCTGACATCAGCTTCTTATCCAAAGTCTGCTCCAGAAAGTGAGGACTAACTTGCAGCATCGAGCCCTGAGACACAAGACATTTCCCTTTACAGATATGGTACCTTACATAAGTTAAAGCATGGGTCTTCAACATAAGGTCCAAGAATAAATTGCGTTCCTCAGAGTTCCATATTCTTAGATAATATGTATTTGTATTTCTTTTAAACATTTTAGTATTTTGAGGGCCACTTGCAACCCATTTTATAACCCTAAGTTTTAAAATGTGACTGTGTACTTAATGTTGTGCTGCGGTAGCTGTTATTCACTTGAAGTGTTAGGAAAACGTTATGAATGTCTGTCTATAATGACCTTTATGTTAAGGGACGGTTCTGATATGACTTCACTATAATAAAGTGCAACTCTTAATTGGACCCTCTTGACAAACTGCTTTAAAATGAGCCAGACATGCTAGAACGTAAAATCAGTAATTTTTTGTGTCCATTTCTCTCTCAGCAGCTGTGGGCTAGATGTTCTGGAGGTGGAAACAGCTGTGAAGACTCTCTGATCCCTCTCACCAGTGTTTTGGCGGCCTGCACCCGGACCATCCAGGAGCCGTCGCTGACCATGTGACTGATCTTTCCAAACGCATCATCAACAAGTCGGATCTCCTCATTGGATGAAGGGATAGGAACAATGCTGATTGGAAAGAAAACAAACGGTGAACTAGAAGTCAGGCAAGGCCACTATAACGGGTATAGCAAATTAAAAAAGTAAAGACACTTATTTTCGCTACCCTTCAGGGTTCAAGTAGCTAGCTAACTAAATCAAAATACCAGCCATCACCATAACAAAACAGTGGCATCATGGGAAATGTCAGGTAATGGAATATGAAGAATGTCACACAATTGATTTATCTTTCAATAGACGCTCTGAGTTTCTGACTTCTGATTAAAGGGGCACATGCTATGCTAATGTTCAGGTTACATTACATTACATTTAGCTGACGCTTTTATCCAAAGCGACTTACAATAGGTTCATACAATTATTTCAAATTTCTACTAGAACATTTGTACACCTTTATACGTGTATCACCCTCTTCCTGAATATCAGTGCAGTGTATTGTAGTGAACCTGCATGTGACTTAAGAAGGGAGCAAAATCTAAATGGCTTGTTGAATCTCATTCAGGCCATTTTTTTTCTTAAAGGATGAGTATCAGCATCTTCTCACCTTTCTGGGAACAGCTGGCTGAGCACCCAAACTATCTGCACCGCTGCAGAGCGCACCTGCTCATAATCATCTGACAGCAACCTGCAAGCCTACACACACACACACACACACACACACACACACACACACACACACACACACACACACACACACACACACACACACACACACACACACACACTACACGACTACTACGACTACACTACACACACACACACACACACACACACACACACACACACACACACACACACACACACTACAACACACACACACACACACACACACACACACACACACACACACACACACACACACACACACACACACACACACACACACACACACACACACACACACAGGTGAGGAAGGTGTTCTTTTCGTTATTCTAGCCGGTTTGAGTACAGGTGGGGCTGTTACCTGGTCATAAATGATCTCATGAATCTTTATTCCTCTCTCGTGCAGCTGCAGCTGGAGAGCAAACACACAGTGCTTTGTTACTGCTGATTCTATTTGCATTGTGTGTGTTAAGGCTCTGGGGCCGTATTCACAAAGGATCTTAGGGCTAAAAGTAGCTCCTAACTGGCGAATTTAGGAGAAACTCCTAAGCATAATGGGCGTGTCAGTCTTAAATTTAGGACTCCTAATTTTATTCACTAAGAGCAATTCACAAAGTATTTTATGCCTAAAAGTAGCACCTAAGTCTGGGAGAGCTTAAAAGTCCTCGAGAGGACTCCTAACTCAGTAAGACCTATTCACAAAGAATCTGAAAATGGCTGCGAGACGAAATGTTTTGGAGACAATGGAAGACTGTGAATTGATCAAGAGATATAGGCTAAATCGTGAGGGTATCAAACTTGTGGTGGAATTAGTGCGGGATGCAATAACATCCCCGACTAACAGGAATAACCCGATTAGTCCGGAAATAAAATGTTTGGCAACACTACGATATTTAGCAACAGGGAAAATACAACTTTGCAATGCCGACGATTTAGGAATATCGCAACCATCAGTCAGCCGTGCCATAAACCAAACCATCAACGCGCTCTCTAGACCACATATCATCCAACAGTTTATCCGGTTTCCTTTGGACAATCAACAACTACACAGGATCAAAGCCAACTTCATGGCAATGCAGGTATGCCCGGTGTGGTCGGTGCTATTGACGGGACGCACATAAAAATAATTGCGCCATCAAAAGATGAGGACGTGTTCGTCAATAGAAAGAAAGTACATTCCATCAACACGCAGATTGTTTTCATTCCTCATGATAGGGGGACTTGAACGGCGGTATGGGCTGTTGTTGAAAGTGTTTAAGTGCTGGAAATATGCTCATTGGATAATAGTTTGCAGGGTGCTTTTAATTGCCTCCTTGATTTAATGCAATTTACGTATTTTTATTGTTTGCTCTCTCTCTTTAACGTGCATATACAACGTCATTATCGTGGTCTGCACAAACTTGTCATCATGCGTGTATTCTGCTAACTGCACTGTCCATAACTATTTGATAGGAATACATTTCTAGCCTAGGCTATTTCCTTGTTTTTCGGTGATTTAGTGGGCTCGTTTGTGGGATGTTGCGGATGAGTTTCACCGAGACCGCCTACTCTGAACAACCAATCACGGTACTGACCGCTTCTAAACTCATGCACGAGAATCGACGTAATCCATAGCAACGGCGCGTCACTCTTAGTTCACTCTTAGTGATTTATCCTTAGTATGAGTAGGTCTCAGCGGCTTTGTGAATAACTTTTAAGAAAAAACTCCTACGTAAAATGTTTTAGCGCGAGTTAGGAGCACTCCTAGCGGTAAGATAAAATGCTTTGTGAATACGGCCCCTGGTGTTGGCAGTGTCCTACCATAGCTTTGAGGGCTGCCGTGCGGACTCTGGGGTCCTGGTCTCCAAAGTAATCACTGATGATACTCTGGACGTCCCTCGCTCCTCCTGGAGCAAACATGTACAATCACACAGCAGGAACATCATAACACATCACACAAAAACTCACACAGAACAATCATGCCCGACAAATGTGAATTTAACACCATGGTAAATTGGAGGCACTGTTTCAAAAACAGTTAAAGTTTAGGGAGATAAACTTTGCAGAAGCCACCAAGAGTAAACTTGATTTTGAAAATTATCCGACTGAAAAAAAACAGCCTAATATTGCAAACCCAATTCCAATTAAAGTAGCTAGCTGCACCAGCTCCAAACATTAGTGCTTATAACTGATAAGTTAGCAGCTTGTGAAAGACTCCTGTCACGTGCACTGAACAGGCAGAGTGCATGCAGGCAGGTGGGCCAGCATATTATTAATGCGGGCCGGGACATTGGTATTGATACATTGGGCTTTGTTTTAGGTGGATGTTTTAGGTGTGCGGCTGCCCCCCTCCACAGCAGCACATCACTTTGCTTCTGTGCGCTAACTTGTGTCCACTTTTCCAAAAGTAGACCTTGCTGCCTGCAGTTATGTAGACTACCTACACTGCCTATGATAAGTTTGATAAGTAAAACACGACATCACTTTATAACGTCCAACAGTGACAGCCAAGTCGTCTAGATATACTGAGCGACAGCACAAACCTGATGATGTGCCCTGTCCCTCGCTGTCTTTGGTCAGTGAAGTGTCCATCATGCCGAGACATCCAAGGAGCTTTAGACACTTGTTCCTGACCCCGAAATACGTATCAGACAGGTGCTGAGAGGAGGACAGAGAAAAAAAACATAAAGAGTTTTGCTGCCTTCTCCAGAATGTCCTGTTGAGTCGGTAAGGAAGACTTCATTGTAAGTACTGTAGTAAACTCTCTCTCTCTGTGTGTGTGTGTGTGTGTGTGTGTGTGTGTGTGTGTGTGTGTGTGTGTGTGTGTGTGTGTGTGTGTGTGTGTGTGTGTGTGTGTGTGTGTGTGTGTGTGTGTGTGTGTGTGTGTGTGTGTGTGTGTGTGTGTGTGTGTGTGTGTGTGTCACCTTGCAAGCCATCTCTATGAGCCTCTGTCTGACTGCAGGACTCTCAGGCAGCTGTGTTCCAATGAGCAGCAGAGTGTCCAGCAGCTGGGCGAGGACCTGATGGGACTCTGCACACAGAGAAACAGATGTAGCACACACGCACCTTGTTAACTACTCACAGTTATGTTTTTCAATGGGGAGGCCAAAGATTCCTAATCAAATGTAAGTTATTTTAGATGTTAAATGTTAAAAGATGCTATTCCGCATATTGAGTTTCTTATTCTAAGAGAAGTCATTAAAAACGTAACTCATTTATTATTTTTTTAAAGTTTTATTATCATCGTTAATTACACATTTTAAAGGGGAAAATATTAGAGCTGTTCTCAAAAATATGAGATTATTCTGTGAAAACACAAAGCCCTGTACAGTGTATAGAAACAATATTGCCTTTTCTTAACAAATACTGTTTATTCAGTGATGGGCGAAAAAGAGGAAAATCAGAGAATATATTTCAAGCAACTCTTTCCAAAATACACATTTTAATAATGTGTAAATATGGCTTGTTGAAGGGAAGAAGTGCATTTGTGTAATTATGTACCAAATCCAAGGTTCGGACAGAGTGTATAAATATCTTACTCTCATTGTTGAGTGTGTTAATGGCATCGTCCACGATGCAGTCAGGGCTGAAGCCCTGTGTTTTGGACAGCAGACCCAGCAGAGAGGCGATCTTCAGCCTCACAGAGTTGTCCGCCTCCTGGGGAGGGACATCAGAATCAGAATTCCTTTATTAGTCCCGCAGCGGGGAAATTTAGCATATAAAAAAACGACATGCAATAAAGAAAGAAATATTTAACTTATTATATACAGAGAAGAAAACCAGACATTAGTAATACGATCTATATGAAGACAAATAAGTACACAACCATGGCTAAAAAAAGCAGCAATTAAATAAAAAACAAGTGACACAAGTAACTAAGATATCAGCAGCATCAGGTGTTTTCTTTATACAACTTAGCTTAGACTTATTGAGAATGTAACAGTCAGACCTTGTTAACTGTGCTACTTTATTACCCATTTGCAGAGATTTTATTTACAAAGCTCTCCATAAAGTAATGGATTATTCAAACATGCCCCTGGTTATCAGCCCAGTTCTTTACCTTGTAGTAGTGCTCCAACAGGATCCGGACCACACCCTCCACGCTCTCCACCTCCACAGGCTTGCGTGCAAACTGCAGCAGGGACTGCAGGGCGTCGGTGGAGTTGGTGGCCTTACACAGGTCGATGTGCAGCGCTGCAGACTTACTGGGTTTGGACAGACGCAGCTTCTTCGCCGGCGCCTCTTCATGGGGAATCTGTTAACATCAAACAACACAAATATATCTAACCCTAATGTCTACAAAAGCAGGGGGATATTGTTTTACCTCATGATGTGGGATCTCTTTCTTTTTCAGACAAAACCTTCAAGCTGATCTAATTGTTCAGAATTATTCCGTCATATATGTGAACATTTAACAAACATAGAGGTTTGATCCCCAACAGTGACTTTATTTATTTTCGTAGACTGTATTGAGTGCAACCCACACTGAATTGTGGCTTTATTCTTTATTGATTGTAGAGAGGATGATGACAACACATTCACAGGTTCAAATCACAGGGAGCTCTTTAAAGTCAAAACTGAAACCACTGAAACCACTCCAACCAAAGAAAATATTTCTTCAGCATTAAACTTTTGCTATCTTAACATTATCATGCCAAATAAACTGTAAAGTATCAAGCTGAAAAACGATATAATACTTCAGTGATACATAGAAGCTGAATAACCTAAAAGCAGTAAGTGCAAAGAGTGAAACTGGTGAATACTCTACTTCTGTATTTTAGAACAAACTCGAGGTAGTAAAATAATTCCATTTTATGCAACTTTGTTCTTCTTTTCCGGTACATCTCAGAGGGGTGTGTTGTACTGTTTATTACATCCTGTTTATCTGACACTTTAGTTACCTTGCAGATTAGAATCGTTCATACCCTTACTGTCTATTTAAAAACGTGCATCTCCAAATGTACTGATTATGAAATAGTCCAACCATTAACATATACACCAGTTAAATACAACATGTAGATTAATGCAGGACTATCATTAATTGTAAACCATAATTTATAGAATAGCGAATATTTTTACTGCATCACTACTCTTACTTGTGATGCTTAAAAACATTTTTGCTAACAGCTGCTATCGTAACTCAGTAGAGTACAGGTTGATGTAGTTATACCAACGTTACCCGACTAACTGTCTCATCAAACAACCATGTATAATTCGTGTATAAATAATATTTATTTTGTACAAACATTACACAGATGACCTGCGTTGTTGTGTTAGCGGCTGTTAGCATTTAGCATTAGCTAACAGGCTAACTGGCTCTCAGGAAGCTGGCTCTCAGGAAGCTGTCTTCTGGGATATGACTACAGAGACTGGGGGGGGGGGGTTGTTGTGCTCACCTGTACGACATGGGAAAACTCCTCATAAACTCGCTTCTTCAGATGTGCTGCCATGTTCGGCGAAATATTGTTCGCTAAGCTATGCTTCAGCTGGCTACATACATTTGTCCCTTTTCACTTTCCGTAGCTACGGTCAAAAGGTAAAACCAAAACGCGGTTTTTTCTTTTTTTAAATGTAGGCTAACCCAGCGCTGGGCTAACCTATTACTTTTTTCCTTGTAGTTGATGTTTAAATGGATCCTAGTTTGTTTGGATACTCGTTTAAGAAAAACACAGACTTGTTAAAAAAAACATCATGGAATCCTGATGTTATCATCACCGTGGATGGATGTGATGTGTCAGTCGCGAACGAGTGAACGACGGAGGCCGGCTCGCGCCCGCGAACGAGCCGGTTTTGTGTGTCTTTTGTTGTTGTTAAGTGAATACAAGACAGAATCATATGATGATCTCCGCGCTACAGCTGTCTCGAGCATGCATGCATGCATGCATGCAGTGACATGTAATATCCAAGGATTAGAGACTGTTGGATGCTGCTGTTTTGCACATTGGCATTCCAATACATTTATTTGTATTATGTTTTTTTATGATTAGAGACGGTTGGATGCTGCTGTTTTGAGCATAACATATTTATTTTCACTATGTTATTTATTTATGATTATCTTTAGGCTCAGCAAAGATTTGATGTCAGCTGTTGCTGTCTTTACTGTACTCTTGCTTCATTTGATCTACTGTATATTCACTAGTTATGTTTTGAGTTAAGATCTGCCAAACCAAACATGAAACATTGTTACAAACTAGACTACAAAAGAGATGCAGCTCCACCTCGATCAACTACTGCAATATGTTTGAAGCTTCATGTTGTTAGCAATTCTTCTGCAGTTGTACTTCAGTTAATGGTTTGGACACTTTTTCACCACTGCACTAAAGTCGTTCCTTTTGCAGTGCTGTTACTTTTAATTGTATTGTTCAGGTGTGTGTGTGTGTGTGTGTGTGTGTGTGTGTGTGTGTGTGTGTGTGTGTGTGTGTGTGTGTGTGTGTGTGTGTGTGTGTGTGTGTGTGTGTGTGTGCATGCGT